GGTCCTGTTCCGTATTTTGAGAAACCACTGGTGATTTTCTTTGCTTGAGACTGATCACTCTCCCTCCTTTACTCTGGCACAAAGCAGTACAATGAGGTATGAATAGTTGTATACTTTTTTTTTTTTTTGGTTTCTATTTTGTGTTTTTTTGTTTCGTTCTTTCCTTTTTGTAAGTTGAGGCGATTATCTTTCCTCATGAAATGCAATATTCTTGTCACGACATTGAGATTAATAATATACTGCAGATTTATACATCACAAGATGAGCCCTGGTCTCAAGTCCGATTATGAGAAACCTTGTTATTATTTTTTTTATTCATTGACTCAGATCAGGAGTACGATGAGCAAAGTGATACAGCCCAAGCAACTGTGGAAAGCAGGATTCAGGTTCATTCACTCTCAGTTCAACTAATCGGAGGATGGATTTACAAACTTACAAAATATTTTCACCAAAATAGTAACCTATTAATTGTACGGGAAGTAAAAACAATACTGTGAGCATCCATAATGAGCCGTTAGGGACTGTGTGGAAGTTCTTAGGGAGGGAGGGGGCGCTGTGCTATTTATCTTTTGAAAATGTTTTCTCACCCCAGATTTATATTATAAGATTATGGTGCATCATCTTAAATTGTTATTGCTACGCATTTTATTAATGATGAATTAAGTTGTACCAATACCGTTATAATATTTTGAGATGTTGGGGGGAGGGTCTAAGGGTATATAAACAAAGTGTTTGACTCCCCTCACAACGCCACAGTACAGTCCCTTTAGAAAAACAAATGCATTTATTGACACCGTACTGAAAATGTGTGGCTGTGTGAGGTACGTAAGGTGTGAAACATAACGTTCCAGCCCCGTCCCAACACCGATCACTTTCGTACAGTCCCGAGGAACATCAAATGCACTCATTGTATAAAAGTATCGAGTGAAACTGGGAGATGGAAATGACCCGTTGATTGGGACTCTTTGGCCCGTTGACCCGATATGGTGCTAAGCAATGTGCATGCTAAGCAATATGTTGACTTCTCACATAGGTGACTAGCATTCGCATTGGACCTAAAACACCTTCAACAAGTTGAGTGTTTGTAACTTGCGAGAGGAAACCTTGTTTGCAGAAAATGCTAATAGCGGAGACTACAGAACATTCAGTTCCTAAAGTCAGTTACAAACAATCAAATGGCAAAAGCAATGTGCCTTTGAATAACGCGAGTCACCTAAATGAGCGCTAGCATACACATTGCAGAGCTAGCTCCGGTGCTAAAAGTCCCATCAGACATGTAACCAATGGGCCAATTCCTTGAAATGAATTGCATAGTTCCATTATGAAATTATACAACGCATTTCATCAGATATTATAACACCAGTTCAAGGCGACTGAAAAGTTTAAATGTTAAATCTGATTAGGCATGAATGGAATAGCGGGCCGTTTTGAAAGGATCTTTTTTTTTCTTAGTTATCAGCTGAACTGAAGGTGATTTGAACCCTGGCCCCCTTGTGGTGACGTCTGAGCACTACAGCTACAACTGCACCGACGATGGTCCGCAAAAGTGCATATACAGCCATTTCATCACAGTAAAGCATCGACACACAAAGACGGACATTCACTTACCAAGAAAATCAGATGCAAATTAATAACGACATTAAAGAATAATCATAGAACAAAACAAAAACAAAAAAAAAGATTTTTTTTCTCGCTGTCCAAAACAAAATCACTTCATCTCTTGCTTCAGTCCTCGCGCCACAAGTCTTTTATAAACATACTGAAGTAAAGAAGAAGGACTTAGTGTGTTGCACGGCCGAGGTTTTGACCTCGGCCACCCTCGAGTAAGCAGAACATCGAACACTTGGTGCACAACGAAAGCAACATCGACAACATCGAAAAAACAACATGAGTGTGGAACTCCACACCGTGTCTTTAAATCGTACAATTTTCAGTATTTTACATTCCACATGTGGACTTATTTTTCCTGCAGGGATTGTCGACTATCTCCACCAAAAGAGTGTGTATGTGTGTGTGAGTGTGTAGGAAGTGAAGACGGAGGTGCATACTAAGAGAACAGAGTGAAATAAATAGAGAAAGAGGACTGGGTTGTAAAAAGAACGGGAACTAGAATGTGAGGTGGACGGACGCGAAATAGATGCGAGGGGAAAGAGAATGTTGCTGAGTCACAGATGGATGTTTTCCCTGGGTAAGTACTAAAAGTAGCTTCACTTGTGGAAAAAAGAGGTTGCATGAGAGTGGAACGGCTTTCAGAGTGGTCGTTTTGTGCTAATGCTGCAGCAGCAGAGCTTAGCATCAAGTTCACATTTTAGTTTGTTGTAAACGTAACATAACATCTCAGAGACGGTTAGAGAGAGAAAGAGAGAGAACACAATTTTGTGGTCACTGTGCGGAAAAGACGGGAGACTAAAGGGTTCCTCCATTTCGCAGCTGGGCTGTGTGGAAGGTGGAACAGTAGAACTGCTGCTCTCGTAGAACAGCGTTTTTTATTGACTCTGTGGCTGTTGCGATGGGAGGCATTTCCGTCGCCTCGCGCACCGCCACCGAGGCCGCGTTAAAAATGCGCAGAAGCGAATACAGTTTTCTGTTTTGAATTTAGATGCTCCTTATATTGTTTGTGTGTGTGCCCGGCTGCTTTGTCGGTGCGACTACAGGGTAGTCAGCGGTTGAATGCACTGTCCCGAGCCCGAATTCGATTCTGTCACACGACGCTAGCGGCAACTGGATTCGCCCGCCGTCTGAGCATCCCCGTCGCTAGCCCCGCCGTCCGTGTGAAATGGCTGTGGAGGTGACTGGATGGAGGATGGTGATGGACCACTAGTCTGTCTCTCTGCTATGCTGGTGCAACTGATCGTGGTGGAAGGCAGTGTGCTCTGTGGTGCTGGTGTGTTTCTGTCTTTTTTTTGTAAAGAGGACAGGGAGGAGGATTTCTCTAGTGATCATTTGGCAGAGAGAGAGAGAGAGAGAGAGAGAGAGAGAGAGAGAGAGAGAGAGAGACTGTGCTGCCAGCTCAAATCTCAATTCCCTGTGGACCGGAACCTGATCTCATGTTCGTACTCCCGAGGTAATGGGAGGGGGGGGGGCTTAAGGTAATTCTTGTGCCAGATGAGATGATTCAGAGGTATGCTGAAAGAAGGTGGGTAAAGGTTTAGCTGGCGATCACCACAAGGCAAACAAGCACTGTAATGCAATATGACGTCAAAAATATCATTACTCTGTGGATATCAATGCAGTCGGCTCGGCTGAGTCCCAGCACCTTCAGCCACGTGACCGGTAGGTCGGGTTCATGAGCTGATTTGAGCTGGCAGCAGGAATTCAGCCGCTGATAGCGCTAATGCTACGTACAATAACTGTAACATATATATATATATATATATATATATCCATCTATCTATCTATAAATATATGCTTCTGTATAATGTATATTTGTTTTGCCGACCTCTGTGAGGCACATTGTACGTGTCAGTTATTGAGCCAGCGGTTCCCTGTCTGGAGCCACGAGCCGGTCGCAGCGTGGCTTTCATTCACAGTGATGGTGAGCAACGTGCGGTACGGACACAGACCGGCCTGGACGGCTGCTGTGGAACTGTACGGCTTGATCATCCTATTGCTGTGTGTGTGTGTGTGTGTGTGTGTGTGTGTGCTGCTGCTGCTTGTGTGTATCCCTGTAAAATCAGTGCTTACGGTTCTATTTGAATACCCTGCAACGTAGATTAGTAACACTGAGGTCGCAGCCCTCGCTGGCTTCAACGGCTAATCCAGAGGTGAGATAACGGGCCGCGTGTGTTTTCACGTGTGTGTGTGTGTGTGTGTGTGTGTGTGTGTGTGTGAGAGACACATATATAAGAGAATATTGTTAAGACTGCAGAAGCAGGAAAAACATGTGGGGGAAGGGGATCAAGGAAGGGGGTTCTGGGCTACTAAGAGATACAGACATTGTGGTTTTAGTGCAACAGAAAAAACCTGATAGTTATTCAAAGTGGATGGCAAGTTGGGATATGGTTGGTGGAGCTTATTTCAGCAGTGCTTGTTTCCGGGATAGGGCCGCCGCTTTACAACGTCTTTTGAATGGCTTGGTGTCCATTTCCGCTGCGACGGCGAGGGAAGGATCTGGGGACGTGCTGTGTGTGCGCAAGAACGAGGGTCCATTTCTATTTTTTTGCGTGGCGGTTTTGCTTCGTTGGCTTGGCCTGAGTCACAAACGCAAGCCGCCCCGGCCGCTCGCTCGCCGCTTCCCTCCCCCTTCGGCCGTATCCACAGGCGAATACTGCCGACTCACTTGCTTATTTATTCATCTCCCAGTCACCACCCACAGTAGTCTGTCAACCCCGACCCAAACGGGGGCCAAAATGGCTTCCACTGACAGTTTCCTTTAAGTTCAATCGGCACAAGTTCAGCCCCGTCCTCGTTGTCATTTCAGGTTCCGAAATAAAAACAGAATCCAAAGTGACTGTCGGTCCCTTGTGGTGTGTGGTAAAAAAAAAGAAGAAGAAAAAAAAAAAAGGCCAGAGTCTGCCATGTCAGCTGTCAAATGTTGATCCACGGCCCGTTTAAAAAGAGCTGCTGCAGACTGTCGGCAGAGTGTTGCAGACAGAGGAGAGGCAGCTGCACTGAGATGAGAGGTGAGGTAGAATCTGTCAGCTTCAGGCGGGACTTGAAACAGGTGCAGGTGACGGGTGGGTAGTGTGTGTGTGTGTGTGTGTGTGTATGTGGGGGGGAGTACTCTAAGGAGGTAAGTGACGACATCCCCCACTGCCAACCCTCCCACCACCAAGTGCCAGCGCTGAACCCATCACAAGACGGCAGGAGGTGAGGAGGCGGGGCCACGGTGTGATTAACAGGGCGGAGCTCCGATGAGAAGACGTACACGCACATATGCACACGCGGAGACAGGAAGTGTGGTGCAGCCCGGTCTGGTTATTTAGGGGGAGGAGATGAGCGACAATACGACTGAGGTAACACATCAAAAAAACAACTGTGTGTAAGTGTGTGTGTGTGAGGTAATGAAAACAGGAGGTATGTGTTGGAGAGGTATTCTAGCAATATATATATATTTATTTATAAACTGTATATGAGTGTTATGAGTAACATGATGCATGTCTCATGATTTAAAATGTTCACTTCATGGCGTAAGTTTGTAGCTTAACTATTTCTTGAAGTACAGTAAGTGAAACTGTACAATAAAAGTAGTGGAAACACTTCCTATGTAGCCTATAGCGATTGTGTATCATAACAATACAATGATTTCTAGTCTATTTTTTCTATTGTAGCTGCTTTAAACTGCTGACGTTTAGCTAGTAGTGTTTGCTATGTTAGCACGATAGAGTTTTTAACGGTGCGTTCACACTAAAACGTAAAGCGGATTTTCCCCGCGAGTTCATCCGCTCTGTGAATTTTACCGAGCTGCTTTCGCTGGTTAACTGCAGCGGTATGATCCCAAAATAAACAGATTTGGCTGTGATTGAATTGCAATAAACGGATAAAAAAAGACGCCGAAATAACGACACGACAATGCCGATGCATAAGAAGTCTGAGTTCATGCTTTGTCGCGTCAAATCACGCAAATTTGTCGTCTTTATATTGAATTGCCGCCACGCGAGAAGTTCCGACTCACGTTTGGTGTGAACGCACTGTTAGCGTAGCATCAATCTTCTCCTCTAACGCTCAGTGTCGCTGAGCCTTTAACAATCATACTTGTCTCGTGACTGCAGTTATGAGACGTAAAAATGCACACAGCAGCTGTTGTAATGCATTAGAATGTCTCATGTATATATATATATATATATATGTGTATATAATATTCACTGTAGATAAGGGCTTCATACAAAGTGTTCTCATTGTAACTTCCCCTAACACTTGCAGAGAGGTACATGGGTAATTGCGGACTGCCACTACCCACACAATAATGTGGAAATACATTTCACGACATATGAGGTAACAGTGTTGGGGTGTGTGTGCTCTGCGCACGTATATATGTATATCATGTGTCTGTGTGTTTGTGAGACGGAGAGGTCAGTAGGTGGGGGGGAGGTAGGTGGACGCCACTGCGGTTAAGGAGGACGCGTGGGAGATGACGGTGGGGTCGTCTGAGGAGCTAATGGTGCCAGAGACCCCCTGAGGTGGGGGTAGAGACATAACCAAACCCCCTCAGGCTGCGGTAGTGTAGTACAGCTCTTTGTTGTGTTTGCATATGTTCGGACTGTACGTTCATGGCAGTGTGTTTGGAATCTAAATGACAGCGTGTTTCTCACTGGTGACGTCCATGTGTGTGTTTGCTGGTGCCATAGGTGGGCGTTTGAGGACAAAAAAAAAAAAGGGTACAGGGCACGTTTACACTGAGAGAAAAAAAAAAATCCAGTTTTTTTTCCTTCTCCACTTCCCCCCCACAAAAATGGTCTTTCCTTTCATGTGTCCAGGGTTCTTTTGAGTGCTTTTACCGCTTTTTCCAGTCACACGTCCTGGTCCTCGAAGACCTCGAGGAAGAGCGGGGGAAAGAGTTCGTTGGGACACTCCACCTTCATGTGGAGGAAGCGGCTGGCGTGGCACGCTCCGATCATGCGCAGGTCCGTCACCTTCATCAGCAGCTTGGGCCAGAAGTGGGGAAGGTTGTGCTTGCGGTAGTTGATGTAGTGCTCGAACGCCAGCAGGTAGGACTCTTGGCACTGCTCGATCTTCTCCATGCTGGTCAGCCCCGAACGGTCTGGTGCGACAGGGGGGGGTGAGAGAGAGAGGGTTACGTTTGTTACATTTCTGCAACATTTCCACCTCAACTTTGCAAAGAAGCTTAATATCTAGGTTTTATTCTAGTCTATATATATCGTATAAACAACAGCCATGTTTGTTGTTTTACGTCCATGATGATCATTTTGGGGGAGTGGCTTTGGAGGGAGGCCTGTAGAGACGGGCTGTCAGTGTTGCTGACTGGAAGACTTTCTCGCTAGATTTAGCGACTTTTGGAGCTAATGCTGCTAGCTACTTTCATTTCGAGGGTTAGCAACACTGGCCTGCTGGATTTCTCCAATGTTAGCTACCCAAGCTTTAAGTATTTTCGGGGCATTTCTATGCCTGTGCTAAAAACAGAGGAGATAGCAGCACTTGCAGCTACGCTTCCATCCATCTGCTTTTACGGGCCAATTTCAATTGGCACATACAAAACAATTACAGTTTGAGATTTCTGAAGGGTTGGCTTACGAGAATTTGCAATAAAAGAGGGAATGTAAGTGTATCTGACTTTATTTAGCTGATCCCAGTTCCTCAAAACAAGCCTGGACGGCTCACATTCCTGATTCCCTGATGCTCCGGGGTTCAGCTTTGGACTTCTCTTATAAGCGCTTGTCCCTGTTCTAAAATAATGGACCAAACTGAAATGGACCTGTAGGAAAACTATCCGTACCTGATGTTACTTGATTAAAAAAGAAGAAAAAAAAGGGACCTGATCCGAAATGGATAAGACTAAATCCAAACACCCGATCGAAAAACGCAGTTGACTCAGACAGAGACAGCGGCATGCCAGTTAATGAGCAGCTGGCCAGTTTGCTTTGAACCATTTGGTCCAGTGACGGCGATCCGGAGCCGCAACTATAGGACAGGATCCCACCAGGACCTGATTACACTGAAACTGATTCTAATCCCTTGTAATTCCCACAGGAGTAATCTGCTAGATCTGTTTTTTTCTGATTTTGGTCAGGTTTGTGATGTAAATTGGTGTACTTGTATTTCACATATTTCAGCTTTAAAATATTTTCTTTTATTCTAAGCAAGAGGGAAACGCCGACCGTAAAGACGCGAGGTGAGAATCGGATAAGCTAAATACTACAAATGAAACTTGTCCCACTACAACATCATTATTCATTCCTCACCTGAGCTCATGAGCAGCACGGCCTGCATTAGAGCCACCTCCGAGTCGTCCAGGTTGAACTGAGCCAGGCTCTTGCCCAAATCAAAGATGGCGTCCGACACCACGCCCAGCCCGCCGTTCTTCAGCTGCTCGCGCTTCACGGCCATCTCGCCGTTCAGCGTCAGCGTCTCGCTCTCCGGGTCGTAGCGGACGGCGGCGCGCAGCGACATGATCTCCATGCAGCAACCCTTCAGCAAGATGATCTGGTCTTCACAGGGCAGCTGGGAAACACAGACGAGGTTAGACAGAACTTCTATCTAAAAGGCAGCCACTATTTAAAATGGTTCTCATTCAATGTGACACAATAATGAACAAAACGTAAAAGCACAACATAACCGTTGACGTTTTGCAGATTGATACAAAATCATCTGTGTTTCTTAAATGAATGAATGAAGCGGTTAAATAAATATGAATGGAATATTGTTATTCGTTAGAATTACCTTGCTATTATTATAAGTTCCCCCTAACATAGCAATAAATGCCTTTATCTGATATAGTGATAGTGGGTAGTGCAGTTCAATGTGATGGGCAACGATTGCTTTTGGAGGAATGTACTTTGGGTGATTTATTTTCTGCTCATGGACTGTTCTGCTAATTGGGGAAAAAATGCAAAGGTAGCATTAATTAGTCCTCAGCAAAAGGCCATAAGTGAGGAGAAAGCTACCTCTGAGATGTACAGTAAGATGTGGTTTAATAAGCTTATCTTCAACCCCTAACAGTAATTATCCTGCTTCCTTGCAGAGGAGAAAAAGGGTTCTCTTCCATTCATAACAAATCCCCTGACACTTTATGTAACCGGGAAGCCCCTGCAATATACATGACGGCTGCACTCAGTAAGGTGGAACCACAGGCGAGGACGCACGCACACACACACACACGCACACACGCGCGCACACACACACACACACACACACACACACACACACACACACACACAC